AGTAAAGCATGTCTTTGAGGTAAGCTGTGTAGTGCATTAGTGATCTTTAAAAAAATACAATAATGAAAATGATTTTTCTATATTCAAGTATACTGAATATTAAACATTTTCCTAGCTGGTTTATGAAAATGGCAATAATGTGAATCAATTAATATGTTAAATAAATTGTTATTTAGCAATTTACATTAATAAATTATTTTACCCCCACCTTTATGGGGTAAGCTGAACCATATGGGAATTTTCCTTAAACTTCCTAAACTTTTTATATTTTAATTACAAATATGAACATACCTAACATTTCATTTTTGCATTTCAAGGTACATTTTTTACTCGGCAGGTAAAGTAGATTTTATGTAAAAATTGAATTTTCCAGGTCTAAAATATATATCATGTTGGTGAATTTCCAATGTAAAAACACAAATTAATAAATGAAGAATTTTTAATACAATGATAGCTGTGGGATATTAATAATAATAAAAGCAGCAATTATCGGGGCCAAGCACAAAGAAAAGTCATGCCAGAATGGCTAGGAGCATCAGACCAAGTGCACCAATGAGCAATTAAAGACATATTAAGATGATTTTAGGCAAAATGGCTGAAAAATCATAAAGGCACTAGGAATATGATTTAATGGTTTATAATTTTCGACCAATAGGTGGCGCTGTGACCAAATTGATGTAGTGTGGTCTGAGTGAGGTGACAAAGTTTGGTGTCAGTATGTTAAATGTTAATGTGGTATATGTAAGCCGTTTCATCTACCAACACTAAATCCACAACCTTTTGCCGGTCTGAAGATGATACGATTCGTTTTTGGTGAAAATCAGACAAACGGTCTAGGAGGAGTTAGAAAAGTAGGTTTTGAAAGAAAATCGAAATGACGGACACGTACCGGTAGTTTGATTGACTATGGCAAAATTGGTATCCAAGTTCTCTGCATGAGGCAAGGAATCTATTAAGATGAGTTTCATTACACTAGTCTAATTTTTTATTTAATCCGTCATTATTAGCATTTTTGAAAATGCTAATAATGCTAAAAATGCATTTTTGAAAATTTCATCTAAAACTATGCAGGTAGCCTCAGGTCATGGTTGTCATATCACACACCAAGTTTGGTCAGAATACGCGAAAGTGTTGCAGAGATATAGCCTCACATTCCTTTTGGCGTGTTCTTCGTCAAATCCTTTCGCGCCTTTGACGGTTTGACGAATCAACTTGAATTCCTTAACTTTTTGTTGGCATGTTCTGAAGATGATCTGGTTAAATTTTCATGAAAATTGGAGCAACGGTCAATTTTAGAAAAATTCTATGACGGTAAAACGAGTCCAAATTTGGACAGTTGGTGGCACTAGAGGGATTGAGTTAGAGACTTCATAATAGATAGAAGACAGTCTGAACTGTCACCATAGCAGTGTGCCAAATTTCATAACTTTCCCAAAAGCCATAAACTTCCAGAGCAGAAGAATTGGAAGAATAATAACAAGAACGCCAACGGATACAACCTTCAGTGCTTTGCCCCTAATAATAATGAGGGAATTATATAGCGCTTTACTATACTGTACACCAAAAGCGCTTTACAATCATATCAGGGGGTCTCCCCTCAACCACCACCAGTGTCCAGCATTCAATTTGATGTACGGCAGCCACAGTACAACGGCGCCAGTGCGCTCACCATACACCAGCTAGGAGGCCATGATTGATAAAGGCCAATGGAGAGAATTTGGCCAAGATTATTATACACCCCTCTTTACGAGAAGTGCCATGGGATTTCTAATTACCACAGAAAGTCAGGACCTCAGCTTAATGTCTCATCCGAAGGACGGTGCTTGTTAAAGTATAATGTCCCTGTCACTATACTGGGGCGTTAGGACTCACACAGACCACAGGGTGAGCACCCCCTGCTGGCCTCACTAACACCTCTTCCAGCAGCAACCTGGTTTTTCCAGGAGGTCTTTGCCCAGATACTGACCAGGCTCAATCCTGCTTACCTTCAGTGGGCAACCAGTCTTGGGCTATAAAGGGTGATATGGCTGCTGGCCATAAAGTATGTACAGTTCTTTGGGGTAAGCTGTGCCATACACTTGTGAGGTTATGTTTCTTTGATGTTATAAATGCCCTCTTTTCAATTTGGTTTGACAGCAAACAAGTAGTTGTATCTCTATATGTGTCTCATTTCACAAAGAAGTGGCACATCTTACTCCACTCTCCTTCATATTTAATGCAGAGGAGCAACTCTGCTTTACAGAATGTTAACTAGTCCCTCCTAAGATTCAGATATCACAGCAATTGATTGAGTTTATCTGCATGTGGGAGGCTGGATAATGTGTGTGTGTGTGTGTGTTGTTCAGGCGGGGGCTCAACTCAATCATTCGTTGGCTCTGGGTGGCTGAAAGGAGCTTGTATGAGTGTTTTAAACATTCCTCTTGCCTTAGCCCCTCTCCTCACCTACTACCTACACACACACACGCACAAACACGCTGACTGCTGAAATACACCCCCACAGCATATGCACCTATCTACTGCCCCTCCCTCCTCTGAATCATGTGGGAGGGAAGCCCGCAAGTCCTTTCAGTTATGAGATCAATGGATGAGCTCAGGCAGAATGCAAGGTCACCTTCATGGACCCAGCGCAGAGCAGGAAAGAAACAGAGACGGGGATGTAAAATTTGTGGCATTAATGCAGGTGCACGCATAGCCTTAGTCGCTGTAACGCAACGTTTTTTCAAAATCATTGTTTACAAAAGCGCTTTATTTCTTTGCTTTCTTATATCAGACACTCCTCCTTTTCATGTACCAATTAGCCGCTGGTAGTGCTTGGGCTTCAAACACCCCTTCCCTCTCTCACTGTAAACTCTCCTGCAGCTGGAGGGAAAGGGATTGAGTTTTCTCTCGTCTTTATTCATCAAGTGAGTCACTGGCAATGGCTGCCTGGGAGAGGTTAAAAAAGAGTCATATGCGACAGAGGAGAGGATGGATGATATAAGTCCTTGTGAAAGCAAATAACAATGGGAGGATCATTCGGGCGAGGAGAATGGAGCCGGAGGAGGAGGAGGAGGAATGGTACCGATCATAAAGCTTGACCGTACTGGGAGATTAGCAGCGCTTAGCCTTGCTCTCTATCTCTTCTGTTCATTGATGGACTGCAGACCAGTGGTTCTCAACTGGTGGGTTGCAAACCAAAAATGGGTCGTGGGTTTGTTCTGACTGAGTTGCGAATAGCATTCCCTGCTCTCAAACCTATGACCCATTTTGCAAATGAAATGGAAACGGTTTCCATATCTTCAGTTGTTGACGTAAAAGGCAGCGAGTCAAATTTATGCACGAATTCATCTCACGTAGAAGTTACCAAATTTAGGCAGATACCAAGATGAACCCGTTTTGTGACATGCCTTTATCCTCAAACCGTGAACAAATTTACATTTTAAAAAAGATACAAAGATAGTCCTTTCCAGTTTTTTTTTTAAAGGAAACAATTGGGCCTGAACACTGCAATCTTCTAATGAATGCAGTTATTAATAATAATATGACAATAATTCATCAAAAATATATAAAAAAAATCTAAGTTCTGTTGTTTTTTTATGCATGTACAAAATTATGAATTAAAAAGTGGTAGTTCATCCTAAAATTTAAATACTCATGTTTTTCCAAACCAGTTTGACTTTTTACTTCTTCTGTGGAACATAGAAGATATTTTCAAGAATGTTGGTAACCATTTCATTGTATGTGAAAGGGGAAAATACCTGAGCCATTTCTCAAAACATCTTCTTTTATGTTCCACAGATTCCACAGTCATACAGGTATGGAACACTTTGAGGGAAATGACAGAATTCTCATTTTTGGGTGAACTATCCTATTAACTATTTAGCATATATCATGTTAATAATATTGCATAGTGTTGGGTCTACACAGGTCATTGTAATATTAAAGGAATAATTTGAGTTCAATACACAATAATTCTTTTGTTAAAACTTGAGCAATATATGAGCCGTAAACTTGTAATATTCTTTAAATGAATTGGGTTGCACTTTATTTTACAGTACATGCACCTGTGTGTACTTGGTGTACTTACCTAAGAAAGTACTGGGTAATATAAGGTAACTTGGGTTAAGGTTAGGTTTAGGGGTAGGTTCAGGGTTAGTACCTAGTTATTACCCAATTATAGTAATTGTATAATAAGTACAGTATGTACATGAGGAACAGGACTGAAAACTAAAGTGCTACCATGAATTGAATGTTTGATGTTGAGGACATTTTGTTATTATGCCGGGTTGCCACTGCTGTTGATCTCACCGCGGTGAAAGAGAGCCAAACTTTAAATTTTTGGCTGTTGTGTTTAATTTAGTGTTTGGACAGAAATCTGGCTTCATTCAAAATGCGTTGTTACATGGATGTGTGTGGGATGTTTGAAGACCTGTGTCCAGGCACTTTGTCCAATTGGACATCCCGCTTATGGCATAGCTTCAAAGCCGTGAAAGAATGAGCACACACGTTTTGGTGAGAGAAAACCTGTTCATGGTCATGGGATTACATTTGTTGTGTCTTTACAGTTGCTTAAAGTCCAGTGCAAATAATCTAGGAGTATCTTTACATTGTGCACACAAGTAAATGTCAAACTATAAATATTTGACAGTTGCTAAGTAACCTCAGAAACCACCTGCAGTGGTACATGAACGAATTGATTTAAAAATAGATGCAGCTGAGTTGTCACTGTAGTATATACGTCATCAAAACTGTTGAATGGGAAACATGGATAAATCAAGCAAACGTAAAACATTATTAATAAAGAACAGTGCATCCTCAAAGATCTGAGATAAAATGACACAAACACCTGACAGATGGAGCTGAGTGTCTACAGAAATGCAGAAGTATGTTTATAGCAGACAGAAAGTACTGGAGAAGGGCGCCACATTGTGGTGAAAAGGGGCACTACAACTATTCAAGAGTAGTTGTATTCACTAATCTCTTGCTCTGACGAATTTGTCATGATGGATCAATATCTCCAGCTCTGTTCCAAACAAGTAAGCTTCCTACAAAAATCATAGGCATGCTCTCTACATGAAGAGTATTCCAAAAGGTAGTTAGCATGTTTACACTGCCTTTTTATGGACAAATTGTGAGGCAGCATCACCTAGCCCATATCCTCCATGGAGAAGGCTATCCCTTAATATTTTGCAATGCATTTTGTGAAAAAGTGCACCAAAAATGGTGGATGAATTGAAAGAATTGACATTTACTGTATAGATGCTTAGAATTCATTCAATAATAGAGCATCGGTAAAAATCATCCCAAAAACGTGCTCGTAACCCAACCAATAGTGTTAACAAAAGCAAACGTGAGTGAGATAAAAACGCATTTACTATTGCAACTAGGTAACTTTAGCTTGCCTCTATGTAGACTGTTACAAATTGGTCACTTATGGTGGAATTTTAGTTCGATCATTCCTTAGTGTATTCTTAGTGCCTATGTAGGTGAGATAGCTCACTAGATTTTGCAACAGAGCCATTTTTACATGTATTGTAATGAGTGCAAAGTCACTGAGTCCATGCCTAGCGTGACTGGCTAAAAGAGAACAAAGCTCGGAAATAAAAACGTTCTCCTAGATATTGATTGAGACATTATTTGATCTTTTTGCTTCATATTATTTTGCTGTGGTCACAGAGGAGTTTAGAAGTTCAGAAAATACACACATACACACACAAACTGTGGAAAAAAAGAGGGACATTTTCCTAGACTGGAGTTCCTATGGGTAGTCGTGGTAAGCAGATATAAGCCTGGGGGTAGAAATTGATGTCCACCGGGTTGCCATCAAGCCTGATGTCCTCCAGGGCTTTCCGTATGTAGTTTTTGTCATGAATGTTGCAGAAAGTATCTTGGCTTATGCTCTGTATATTGTTATTCTGGAGAAAATGTAGAAGAGAGGGAGAGAAATAGCATTAATTGTGAGGACATTATTGCCCACTATTGAGGAGAGTAGCAGGAGTTTTTCCTGTTTTTACCTGCAGGTGGAGCGATCGTAGGCTGTCAGGTAGGGGTACGGGAATGTAGTCTAACTTGTTGTTTGATAGGTACAGGAACTGAAGCTCTTCCATCTCCTACTCACGAGAGAAAATTAACACAAACAACATAACATTATCATGCTCCGTTTATTATTTGTCAGTGGAAAAGTAATCATTAGACGTGAATACACATTGAAATAGAAAAATAATACGACTGAATTTGGTTTTACTGCACTGTTTTAAAGGGATAGTCATTCACTTCCATTGTAGGAAAAAATACCATGGAAGTCAATGGATACTGTCAACTGTCTGATTACCAACATTCTTCAAAATATCTTCTTTAGTGTTCAACAGAAGAAAGAAACTCATACAGGTTTAGAACAACTTGAGGGTGAGTAAATGACAACAGAATTAAATGATTTGGATGAACAATCCCTTTCAGTGTAAACAAGGTTTTTGTATCATATGCAGTGTTTCTTTTCAAGTAAATACATTTCATTTTAATGATCTTTAGACATTTTTACTGCAAAACAAGCCATAAACATCTTTCTGTCTGACTATGTCTATCTATCTTTATTTTGCAGTTAAATGGCAGAATGAAAAAAATTCTTGAGCACTAAATCAGCATATTAGAATGATTTCTGAAGGATCATGATGTGACATTGAAGTTATAATGCTGAAAATTCAGCTTTGTCATCACAGGAATACATAATTGTAAGAATATTTCACCGTATTGTTACTGTTTTTTTTACTAAAAAAAAAAATCTTACAGACCCCAAACTTTTGGATGGTTCTGTACGTACCTTAAAGGCCTCTGCGTGCATGCTTGAACTCCTTAGCTGGTTATTGCGAACATCAATGTGCTTCAGGGAAGCTGGGAGTTCTGGGAGTACCTGGATGTTGTTGTCGGCCAACATGAGATCCTGAAGTTGAAGCAGGGAACGAAAAGCGGCCTCGTTCACTTTACCTATCTGGTTTCCACTCAGGTCGATCCGTTTCAGCTGATCTGAGAACACCATTAAGTGCAGTTTTCTTAAACATTGTTCAGTTTGATTCGTAATTAAATTGATTTAAAAGTCTTAAATAGTCTTTTATGCATTTCAGGCCTTGTGTAAACTGTGTAATACAGTATATGTTTGAAAAACCACGTTTGTATTTTCAAGAAAGAGGGAAGTCTGTTTGATTCTTACTGAGATTGATGAAGTCTGTGGCCTTGACCTCGGTGATCTTGTTGAAGCGAGCGTAGAAGTGTGTGGTTTCTTTGGGAAGAGGGGGAATCTGAGTCAGTTCTGAGTCATCACAGTAAACACTGCCGCTGATACACACACACAGCAGGCAGGAGGGCATCCCTACAGAAAAGAGGGAGAGAGGACTGTGCTATGACGTTTCGTACCACTAGAGGCCGCAAGATTTATGACTGAAATAAAAAAACAAAGCATTTTCATCACTTTCAAACCATTTATCCATCTACCTAAGCCTGTGTCAGGCCCAAACAGGCCCGGACCATGTAAGTCTAAAGTTGATGGGACAGGAGACTTTGTTGGACGGGGCGGCAGTGTGACTTCCTCCACATAGTCCTCAGGAGGAACAACAGCAGGTGGCGGAGTGACTGCTGGAGGAGGAGCCAGTGTCTCAACCTCAGTCAGTAAGAAAGAGAGGTTAGAAACGGAACAGAACTATATACATAAGCAGGTTCATAGTGACTCTATTCTGAAAGGGATAGTTAATAAAAAATCAGTCATCATTTACTCACCCTCATTTCGTACAAGAATCAAGATGAGATATTTTTGAGAAATGTCTCTGCTTTATTTGTCCATACAATGGAAGTCAGTGGGCTCAAAAGTTATCTTGTTCCCTACCTTCTTCCCCCAAAAATGATATGCTTTATATAATAGATTGTAACATCAAAAATGGTGTCTAATGAAATTAATTCATACAATTTTAACAATTGAATTGATCTTTTAAAATGACAATTAATTTAGAACAAAACGTATTTTTATTATTATTTCTTCTAGCAATATAGTGTTGAGTTGCATGGTGCTTTTTGTGATTTTTGGTGCTGAATAGCGCTCATCCACCTTCACTTTCATTATATAGAAAATAATGTAGCTTGATGTCATGCCTAACATCCAAACGTTCTCATTTTGTTCAATGGAAGAAAAAAAGTCATACAGGTTTGGAACAACGTGATGATGATTAAACGATGACAGAACTGACAAACTTGATCAGCTCTTGAAACCTCCTCTCACCTCCTCATCATATTCATAGTTCAGATCCAACGTGTTTAAATCATCGTATCCAAATGCTTCAGGGTCCAGATCAGTTGGAGGGGCACAAAGACCGAAGCCCAATAGGGTCCAAACAAGATACAGCACCATCTATAATAGACAAAGTGAATTATCTGTGCATATGTACTTAGTACTTTTGTGATATGCATTGGGGACTCGTTATGAATTCAACATCACAGAGTGTCAAGATAATCCAGATTATGCAATTTATACTCTAGATTTCTTATTAGCTGAAAAAATGTGCTTTCATTTTGGGGTTTTGGAAATGTTTTCTCTTTTTTTTTTTTTTTTTTTTTTTTTCATTTTATAAGTATCTGCAGCCCCAGATGCCTGTCACACCAGTGTTTGTTTAACCTTTAAGGCATTTCTTACCGGCTGCTCAGACACGTAAACTCTTATTAGCCACAAACATCACGCATGACAGTGTGAAAGTTCATACACTTTAGACCCTCCACGCATTTGAAAACATAAATTAAGTTGTTGTATGGTTCGCAATGGTAATCTATCATCCGTCTTCTATGGTTATGGAAGTTGGCCAAACCTGCAGAGTTTTGTGAAGAAGGCTGACAGGGGTGTGCGATCTAAAGTAAGTATATATAAATATATACAAATATAACAAAAATCTGAATCATGCGTCTTCCTCCATACTACATCAACACAGATGGAGTCCATAATGCACATCTACATGGTCGTCATCTAGTGTTTCTCAATGCTGCACAATCGGGACCACACCGACCTTGCTTTCCCATAAACTCCTAACAACTCCAGCCTGACACATCAGTATTCAGAGCTCTCCTGGGCCTATTCAGTTATTCACGTAACCCCGTTATGAAAGTATTCGGAATAAGACTAATTACCAAGGAGTCTTCATACAGCAAGAAGGGGGGAAAAGAGAGAGACCTACCTTTGATGTTTGTCTGTGAACAGCCATGGCCTGAGAGCAGACCTTAGGGGAACAGTGGTATGGAAGCTGGCCTGTGTTCTCCTGAGGTTTTTGCAATGAATTGCTGACCCAGGATTGAGGACACCAGCAGGTTAGGTGAGGGGGAGAGGTGGGAGCTCAGCTGGGGGATGGCCAAGTCAGTTTGCTCAGCTGTCACTAGTTTTACAGCGCTGCCATTGCCGAAGTCTCTGACCCGGCCTGGTTTGGTAATTTACCGCTCCCTGCTGGCAGGTTGTTAACTTCATGTGGTTTTCAGACACGTGTCCTAGCGAGATGCAAGCTTTCCTTTTTTTCCCATGACATTTTACATTGCTTTGGTGTTCCAGAAGACAATTTTGTATTTCCAGGAATCATCTTTGATTGTTTTGGGAGTGGTCAGTTCACCCCTTGTGGATTCCAGCCCATTCAAGTATACTTCCCATAATATAGTGAGAAGTTAATCCATGTCATAATTGTTTGACTCAATTCGCTGAAGCCTCGGAACTGTTTCTGACTGAACACCCTTTAAAGTCTGAATTAAACTAATGGACTTAATGTTATTTCATGGTGTATTAAGCAGGTCAGTGAGGTCAGCTGTTTGTGATTTTGACTTAGGTTGACATCCAATAGCAAACCTAGTGGACGACCTTTGACATCCTCTGATTTTTTACTGGCGTCTGACTGACGAGACTCAAACAGACACTCCTGTTTCATTCCTTTTCTGTAAGAGATCTTGCGTCACTTCTCAATTAGCAACCATGTTTCACATATCAAAATTCCATTGCTAAATACTTTGTACAGATGATGACTAGCTCAGAAGGAAGCACTGATTAACAGAAGAGAAGGTATATGAAAACTTTTCCTCTCTCCTATAATGTATTTCATGGACAAGTATTTTTTTTCTTCAAAAATCTTACTGTCCCACACATTTGAATGGTAGTGTAAATATCTGTCAGCAAAGCACAATCCTGTGGTGCCTGTTCTTTTTTCCTTCTTACTGAAATGTTCTCAGTTCTCATGTTTAATAATGAAATACACTGCTGTAAGAGAAAAATGTGCAGCAAGGGTTTCAAAGGTGCTTTTCAATAAATGACATTTGTTCTAAGATACAATGCCTAAAGCACATTAAACTAGTTACGAAACTAAAAAACTAAAAAGCACACACTAAAGACACAAAGTCTGAATTTCATTTAGCCGCTGTGTGCATATCTTCAGAAACTCTTCAATACGTATTTATAAAATTCATTATTTTCACAAATCAGAATTACTTCAAGCACAATTATGGGATGCAGATATATTTGCTTCCACAATACAGTGCAACATCAATGTAGCCTACAATAATTGAAATCTTTTATAAAACATTGGACAATATTTTTATATAGAGATTTAGTTATGAAAAAACATTTTTAGGTATAGTAATTGATACATTCTAACAGAACAGTGTTTTGCCTGACTAATTTCATCTATAATGACAGTTGTTATGTTTTCATATCCACCTGCTGGGGGAGCAAGAGTGCTGCGCTCATTGTCCTATTGTACAGCATTTCAGGAAATGGTTTCCATCAGCCACCTGAATAACATTAGTCAAGCCATGGAGGATGTATACAATTACAGAAAGCTTACTTCTAAGACTTTTAGGAAGGCATTTAGGAAGCTGAGATTTTTGGGCTATTTGGCTTTTCATAATGTGCTATTTCAGACTAGTGGAAAGAAAACATCCTAAATACACTTTTATGTGTGTTTTTTATTGCATTTTATCTATTTGCATCTGTGGATTTAAATTACAATACAGGCCGTTTTCTCAAAATTATTATTTTTTTCGCATGCACTGAGCCATAAATCTTCACTTTAGTAGCACTTGCATACATCAAACTTTACAGTTTTATTGTTATATTCTGAAGGGTTTTACAGAGGGGGTTGTTCAAATTCACCTGGTTTTATACAACATTTTATTCACATTTTATGCCCCTTTTCATAAGATATAACATAAATCTATGGTGTCCCCAGAATGTGCCTGAAATTTCAGCTCAAAATACCCCCCAGATCATTTATTATAGCTTGTCAAAATTTCCCCTTTTTGGGTGTGAGCAAAAACTTGCCTTTTTTGTGTGTGTCCCTTTAAATGCAAATGAGCTGCTGCTCCCCGCCCCCGTTCAGAAGAAGGCCGATCCTTTACAGGAGCTTCGGATACTCGGCATTAACGCGAATTCAGTCAGATTTCAGAAATAACCAGTAGCGGAGTGCAGCCTTACCGAGAGACTCAGGAAGAGTTTAGACTGCACCTGGACGTTTCTGAATGGTTAGTGATGCATTTATAATATAGTTGTTATGTTACATTGATTCATCTCATCGACTTGCATGTACCTCATGTTTAACTTTTACACAAGCTGACACAGTAGGGATGGGGAAATGAAGCCTCGTGAAGCAATGAGGCTTTCCCCTGACTGTTCCGGGAAAAGATTCAAAGCTTCGAGAGTGTCGAGAACAGCGCCATCTGGTGTTTATTTAAAATAAAGCAGCCAGAAGCCTGTGTTAAAAGCTCAGATGAAGCAACCACTACACACTCCATAATTTCAATGGTATGTGTACAAATAAAAAGCCTTAAACGTTTGTGTTTGATTTGTCCATTAATAAATACATTATTTTACCCATTAAAGTGTGGCAATAAAATATAAAATGAGCATATTATTTAATGAGATCTAATGTAGGCCTACTCTCTCTCTCTCTCTCTCTCTCTCTCTCTCTCTCTCTCTCTCTCTCTCTCTCTCTCTCTCTCTCTCTCTCTCTCTCTCTCTCTCTCTCTCTCTCTCTCTCTCTCTCTCTCTCTATACAAACACACACACACACACACACACACATATACATATAGTGAATAAGTACATTGTGTGATAGGATCATCTGTTCATCTGACACTTGGCAGTGATAGTGCTTATGTAACTGTAGGAATGACAGAAAGGTGATAAAGATTTTAATTATTCTGTAATGCCAATGTATATAGACGGGGGTAGACATGTTTCTGCATTCTCCAGTATCCAAGTTGATCTTCAGCTCTGTATGTTTGTCTCTGTAAGGTGTTTATCCACTTCTACGATCGCATCAGAAGTGGCATTTGAGCTTTGTCTGTGCTGGTCTACAGCACTTTCCAACAGAAGACAAAGGTTTCCACCTCAGAAGTGTGAGAATTTTTTGTGTTGGGAATTACTGTATGTACATTGACTGAATATAAGACACATCAACGGTCAACAATTATACAATACAATTGTATAATTGTTGACCGTTGATGTGTCAATGATAAAAAATAAAATGATAATAAATAAATAAATATATATATATATATATATATATATATATATATATATATTTTTTTTTTTTTTTTTAATGCATTAATTGGAAGCCATAAACTCAAAATATTCCCAGTTAGGGGAAGTCTTCCTTTTTTGGCTGTTGCCATTGCTGTAGCCTAAATACAAACCCTTCACCAAACACCCAAATACCAACACCAAATTACCTAAAAAACACCAAAAGTGCAACAGTCTTACAAAAACAAAAAGACACAACAACAACAACAAAATAATAAGTAGTTTTGGTTATTTAAATGTAATGTATTGATTAACTTTCAAAGTACAGCACTCTCCTCACAAACCCATCAACCAGACTGAGCCAACAAGGACTCGTTTAGTAAGATCTGGGGTCGAGCGTTCGAGCCTTCTGACGCCCAAAGCGAAACGCGCACGTGATTGGACAGAAAGTGAGGCTTCGTTTGTCATCGATCACGTGACCTCTGGGAAACCAATACACACTCCGATACGGGGCTTCACTAGAAATTGCTTCGCTTTCGCGATACGCACATCGAAGCTTCAGTGTCATACGTAACATCACTATGACACAGTTCACCGAGGTCTTTATTTTTAAGACCGCTGTGACATTTTTTGGTCAAATAGTGTTCTGTGCTCGTCTGTACAGCCAACGACAGAACTGTTTGCATGCTTTGCTCGAACTTCTTCCATTTAGAACTGGTTACACTGTTGTCGCTTGTGAAAACCAAATGGCGGCGCCGTGGGTGGAAACGTGCAGATTAAGGGGCGGTAGCGAAATCTGATCGGCTTATTTTTTTGACATGCTTGCAGAGAAAGGCTCACCAAAACAAAGTTACTGGGTTGTCACTTTTCACGTTTTCTGGGTTGCACGATTAGCACTTAAACACGGAAAAGGTCAGATTTTCATGATATGTCCCCTTTAATGTAATCAATCAACTGGGGAAGTATGGATATCTATACTTTTTTTTTTTTTACACTATTCACCTGGGGTGTCTTGCCTTAAACACTCAAAAAGATGTTTTTTTTGTCCACAATGAAAATCCATGTGTTGTTTTGGTCCCAATGACTTATGATTCTCTGAATTGTATGAACAAAAACAGTTGAAACATTCTTTAAAATATTTTCTTTTGTTCCACAGAAGAATGAGTGATTTGGAATGACATGGAGGTGTGTACTGTAAATGATTAATTTAAGGTAAATTTTCATATTTGGATGAACTATTATTTTAAAACTAACAAAACAATGTTAAAGGGCAAGACGTGACAGAGCAAAGCAAATTAGGGAGTTACTCTGACTAATAGGAAAACAAGTTTAACTGACAAGATACAACTGGAAACATCATGACACTCCACACCCAAATGGTAAAATCTTTGGCTTTAAGTTGTTGCTAATGGTACATGCACTTTTACAAGTTGATTGTACTGAAATGTGTGTTGGCAGTGTCTGTACATACACAGCCATCATATAATGATAAAAATCCATCCAGTGGTTTTGTTTTAATCTCCTTATATGTTTTCCCCTGTCTCAAATCGAGCCGTTTGAGCCTGTGACGTCACAAGCTCGCACGCCCCTCCCACGATTGTTGAATGACAGAAGGGTTTCAACACAGACCCGCCCTCGCTCGTGAGCTAGCTGTCAATCATAGTCCGCGCGGACCGGCGCGGTCATTGTTGATATGCTGGAGCACTGTCTATGAGCAGAATGGCGTCTAAGCGATTGTGGTGTTCTGTTCTTGGGTGTAATAACGAACACAGCAGTCATTTTAATGTTCCTAAATCCGAACCGCCGAAGACGCAGTGGCTGAGTTTGTTTTCGAAGGGAATATTCCCCACGAGCAACGTCAATGCTCTCATGTTTGCGCGAATCATTTCACACACCAGACTGCTTATAAACGAGGAGGTATAAAGCTGGTTTTGGTAAGAAGCTGCTCCTGAAAAAAGATCGGTACCAGCTATTCGTGTTCCTGCAGCTGCTCCAGAAGAACTGAAGTGATTGTAAGGTTTTATTAAACTTTATATTAATATTTATATTAATCCTTGTAAATCGCTAGCTGCACGCTTCACAATGAATGCGTCTAAGGTTTACACTCAGGGTAC